TGCATAGACACGAACGCCATTACAGGAGCCCAAACAAGCAACTTTGCAAGCGCCTTTGGTTTGGGCTTTAGAAGTACAATGTTCCATGGAAAATCCGCATTTCTTAAAGCCTATGCTTATTAAGCATTTTAATGCGTAATCGGTGCTATGCAATGTTGACATTCTTTCCGAATTTTGGCTTTACATGCCGGGGGAGCGGGGGGGGGAGGGGGGTGGGAGGGGAAATTTTCCCCATAGAGTGCACTTATTTGTTAATATTTAGCTATTAGGAAAATGAATAATTTCTTTAATAATGTCTGAAAATCATTCTTCCTCTTGAATTTAATAGCCCATAAAAATAGTAAACAAGGACTGTACTATAATTAATAATAGAAAGTAAATATGTATTAAATGTAAAGTGTAAGAATGATGAATGCAGTTTACGAAGTGGTTGATATGCATTCATTTAGGTCCATTCACACACTTACATCCACTCGGCTTATCCTAGTTATATGTGCATTGTAACCAATAGATTGACTGCTGTAAGACTGATTGAGTATGGAAATAGGTAAAAATAAACTTGAATGGAGACTAGTTAAGGACTTAATTTTTTTAGGAATTGATATTGAGAAGTCCTTAATGCTATGAGAGCGCTACTGATATGCTATCTAATGATTTATGCGCATGTCTCTTTTTTGTTAGTTGAGTTTGCACTTTCCGTAGGAATAGTAAACTATTTCCTGATTCGTGTTTCCCCACTTTTCGAAAAGCACTAATCATTCCTGAATATTGATTGAAAAATTTGTCACTAATCAGGTGGCTTACTAATTCTCAAGGCCATCTAAAAGACCGATTTTCACTATTTATCGTCGCTAGTCTCCTTGTTGAGAGATTAGAAGTCTACCACCCTCTATATTAGCCAGATTTAAACAAAGTGATAGATGATTCAAATTACTGGTTGTTCATTGAAAGGAACCAAACCCACGACCTTTGACTTGGCAGGTGAGAACGGTGAGAGTGTGAAAGCTTCGTAAACAAAGAACCAAACATCTCTAATTTTCACACATTGTAACCATAGATCTGTTTATCTACTTGTCCAAGTGAGATCGTATCTGTTACCCTTAGTAATAAAGAGATAATTAGATCACATTTTGGAGGCGTACTCCCTTAAACACCTTATGGCCATCCTTTTCTCTGCCATTATTAAATCTGCGAAAGTGGAGGATTTAGAAGATGCATGATATTGAATATTTAATTCCATTAGCCACACATGTCTGCAATGTGGTGTGTATTTGTTTGACTGCGGCTACATCAAAGCCTTACAGTGCAGTGATTATTTCGTTCGCCATAGTTGTTCCTCATACCAACACGCATAATTGGAATGAATTACGAGCAATCAACGAAGTACCCCTTATTTCCCATGCACCCTTTTTAAAACTACCACGAGCAAACGCCCTCTCCAGTTTATCAGTACAAATTCACATGACTGATCTCAATCGGAGATAATCAGTGTGATTTCTCGTCGTTTCATTCACGAATTGAGTGTTTTTGTGTGGTTTCATGACTAAATAGAACTATTTTCAACATTTTTTGAACGTGACACCATCCGAAGCATTGGAAGCCATTGATAATTACAAAACATTTCCAACATTCTTTACGCTAAATATTACTTCAAAATTGAATTTTTCTAAGTTGGTCTGTCGATCCACTTCAATGAAGTTTTAAAACACCAGTGACCAATCAACCAGCAGAGTTCCACCTCCCGAAAATAGAAACACTGAACGATAGAGAATTAGCTTTTAGAATCCCAACAACGGGAATGACAGAAATAAAAGAAGTCTATTCGAATAAGTATATCATAAATAAGGTTAACATTGAATACCCAAAATTACAAATGCAAACACTATAAGAAAATAATTTTCTATGGCCAGTTATTTGATTTGGTCTATTGCCGTTAATTGTCTGCTTATTCTTTTCTTGTTTGGAATAATTTTAACATGCAATTTCAATGTCAGGTCAAATTTCGTCTTGGGAATCTTTAAAATTATTGTTGAATAAAATCTAGAAAATTCACCCCACAACTTTTAATCTCTGCGTATGTAATTTCGTCAATAAACTATAATCCCGTTGAAAGTAACAATTAGGCGTGTTTGTATATCCTCAGTTTTGCCAGGGTCGCTATTCTAACACAGTGGTTAGTTATAAGTCTCCCGATCTGTTTTGAGTCCCTCTTCACCGAGTATCAGTCAGTTGGTGTTCTCAAAATCAGCCCAAACACTCATGTATCAATACCTGAAGGGTTACAAACCGAAGCTTCAATATGAGGGCGTAAACACTATAAGCTGACCCCTCATGGACACTTCCAACCTTCACCAGTATATACCCAAGTCATGAGTCATGGGACTGGTACAGGTTTATACTGGGTACTTTTCTTGACGTTGCCCCACAACGTTACTTTATGCAACTACGAATCCCCAAATATACATATATGATAGCGTGCGTACCTGTTAGTATGAAGACTTGTTCGTACCTGTTATCCAACACTTGCCTACATCCCTATCTTTCAAGACAGTCAGTGTATGTGTGTGTGTCCGCGTGGGAACAAACAACGAATTTGTTCCGGGTTCTCTATTTGGAATATAATGTTTAATAAATAGCTTAATCAGTGTCCTTGTTCAATTAATTTGATAAAATTGTGATTTATCTCTCGCCAATGAACGCATTTTATGCTGCTTTTATTTCTGATTTAAATGAGGAATTGACTAGGACATGAATAGAATGGATTGGTCTACCCAGTTTATTCACCCATTTGAATAGATAATGCTCTTTTTAAAAAAACACTAAATTTTTCATAAAAACATGACAATAGAGGAATATGTGATTGAAAAATGAAATCACAAATCTTTTATAAGTGTTTTCTATTCACATTTCACAGACTAATCGATGTATAGCTTGATTTCAGGGGCCAGAACTCCATCACTGGGAGGGTTAGTGACCAGAAGTTTTTTATTAAAGTTAGAGCCATATAAGCGTTCTTGAGCAAAAGAAGTTCAAGGAATTCTCATTTATCTCCCAGCTACTTATTTTAACATAATTAATCATGAAACATGAATTATTTATTCTCCAAGTTCAATTTTTTTGATATCACTATTGGCAAAATTTATTTGCATCTTAAACTTCGCTCGATTGGTGTCAAAATTCAAGAAAATTCACTTGTCCCTAATTTATTGATTTATAATTTACTTTTCTTATACGAGAAATTAAACGTGTTGAGCGCTTTTAAATAAATATAAAGTGCCCATTTTTTGTTATTTAGCCTTCCAAAGCATGGACCCACATATGCACATTTAGTTCATTCGTATAAGTTAAATTGCATGAAACAATTTAATTTAAACAAAATAATTCCCAATTCCGCGGGCTTACAGTGCGTGAGATTTTGTCGAAGAGGGTTCAAAGTGGCTAAATAATGGAGCAGATGCATTCCGGTGTCTTATAAGTTATCAGCGGCTGTCGAATTGAAAATGTCTTTTAATTCAGAAGACGCAATTATCGCAGTAACTTCCACCATTTTGTATCCCTTTTAACATTCGCGAATAGTTGTGCGATGGAGTTTACTTTGGTCTCCCAGATGTACTCTAGTACAAAAAGTAAATTAAATTAAATTGAAATTATTGGGTGTATTCTAGATTGCCCTATTTAAAAAAACATTTAAATTCTAATAAAATTTCAGCAGATAAGAATCTCATTTTAATGTTTTTTTGGTTAACATTTTTTTCAAGCGGAATAAAGCCGAAAGCTAAACAAAACTCTCGAGCAATGCTGACGGAATCTATCAAGATCGAATGTTACGCTTAGCAAATTTTTATTAATGGTAATAGTTAATTTGCAGAGTTGGTATGCGTTAAAATAGAGAAAGAGTAGAAAAATGATATAACTCAAAGTTTCATTGTCGTCTCATTTACAACCTGTAGCAATGACGGCTTACTGCAAAACCAAAGTGCTTTATTAAAATATACACATTTATTTTGTTAATTTATGCATTATGGTTTCAAAACATTGAAAGAAGATATTATAATTAATCTGAAGTTTTCATAGGAAGGACTTTAAAACGCCCTCTATTGTCTACTTGCTTGACATTTAAATTGCTTTCATAAATAATAATAGATTAGTTATCGCTTCCTTACAGTTGCGTGAAATTTTGCCCCAGAGTTAACCTATTACTAATGAACATTCTGGAAATTAGTAATATGGGTCAAGATAGCATCATTTTTTCAAAAATGAAGAGATTTTCCTAATTCATTTCATCGATTGTCTCTTATTTTAAGTAGTTAAAGCTAAACACTCTTAATGTTTATTCTCTGTGCTTCGTTTCTTAACTAGAAATTCAGTTTGATTTATTACCGTAAATTCGAGCACATTTCAAATTTGAGGAACTTCTATTGACCTGTTTAAATCGCATTAAAGACACTAATATCGCGTTTCATTTTTTGTTAAAAATGAAAGCACACAAATCGTCCGCCTGACCCACTTGCACATATATTTCACAATCTCACCTCTGAAGTGTTCGAATGTGTCTGTTTTCCAGTGGCAGCCATAAAACTCCACTATTTGCCTTGACGATGTCGATAATAATTGCAGAAATTATTATTTGAGTTTTAGTTATGTGGTTTTCGAGTTAACCAAATCTGTTATGGACAGGTAATATTAATTTTTAATTAGTAAGATGAAGTTCAGTGTTCTAACTAAGAAAAGCTTTCCATAAAATATTTGAAGTAGGAAAAAATTTTAAAGATGTATTTTGTCTAAATTAATTATTTTTATATAGATATTATGTACATTAATAAAACAATTTACTTTTACTTATTCTATTATTATTAATTTTTTGTTTAGTTAAAGAAGAATTATTATAATTTTATAAAATTTGGTAGACCGCAGACAATGAGCAAACATAAGTAATCATCACTGCGTTCTTTGCTTAAATCCTTTTTGCAAATGAACAATAGAAAAATTTAATAAAGTAAATGCAATCGATTAAATGCATCCTTGCAGGTAAGTGGCTAGTGAAATTAAAATAGTTCATTTGTTCAACTGGACTAGATAGACGGAAAGTAATTCATTAAAATGTGAAATCAAATTCGACGAAAATGTGTGTAGTTTTATTTGAACTGTCCTCCGAGAAGAAATTTCTACTAGAAGAGGAGACGATTCGATTGTTTACTTTGATGAGATGCATTCCGTCTGTCGCATTCTCGAAGAGTCTGCGCGCGCGTCGATGAGTTTCGTCTTACATTGAAGCAGTCTGTCTCACACATTCAATTTCGGCTTATGCAAACTTTTGCAGTCACCAACTGGGCCAAGTCAAATGAAGAGAGAGAGAGAGAAAAAAAATTTCTGCGAAAATTAAAAGATGTAATAAGCTGTAGATCCATTGCTCACTTAATCGAATACTTTGGATTAACAAGTGCTGAAACTGTAATAATGGCGGTAAACCGATAAGACTCTATTTTGTTTATATCTGTAGTCCTTTTATACATCCTAACTGAAAACTGCCTTTTAAACAGAATTTATCTGTTGTTTACCATGAAATGAACTGAAAATCGAGTCTAAACTATTTCATTCCCACCATGACCAAGGGAAATTTTCAACAATTTTAATAGACGTATTTCTGCTAAATTAGGAACAGAAAAGTCGCTTAAAGTATGTAAGAAAGATTAATAAAATGGCAGATTAAATCTTTGCATCAAAATTATTTAATAATAAATAATGCTCAATATATGATGTTCTAATGCTCCAATGTACAGATTTCGCGCAGATACATCCAAAGATACCGAAGATCGATTTTCTTTAAAATATTTAAAAGTGGTTATCTGACATGAGTCCATGTTTGTTTCCATGTGGCAAAACCCACAAGATTTGAATCAAGTTGGGATGTAAAGTTGTTAAAAAATTTTAAGATATCTCCAACATTGATAAATTGTTTTTCATATAACAGGACCAAACTCGGTTCAGAGACGAAGAGGACGTCAAACTTACAGTCGTTTTCAGACTTTGGAATTGGAAAAGGAATTTCAGTATAGCCACTACCTTACTCGACGCCGACGAATTGAAATCGCACACAGCCTTTGTCTGACTGAACGTCAAATCAAGATTTGGTTTCAGAATCGTAGGATGAAACTGAAGAAGGAACGCCAACAAATAAAGGATCTGAATGAGGAGATGAATCGGCGACTCATGAACGAGAGTCAAAAGCTTCAGAAGAATCCTCTCACACAAAATTTCCCTCCACCTTCCTATATCCCCCAGATACTTGACTCGGATCCGACCTCATTCCCTCAATTTTTACCTCACCATGGCCTGCCCCATCCTATGAGTATTCATCCAACATCCGCAACCTCTAACGATGACTTCTCCGAAGTTGAACGTGCTAGCTGATGTGAACGTTTAATGTCGGATGTGATCGAACGATCTCTTTTTAATGCAGCGAAAATAAAAGCCCTACTTATTTTTAGATTATATTGTTAAAACAAGCTACTTACTTATTTGAGTAGATAGGACATTATTATTCCTCATTTTTATAGGAGCATACTTTAATAAGTGTTCAACAGTCTTTGTTGCCATGAAAATAAATAAAATGATATTAGATAAAGCAAAATGAACAAATTAAACTAATTTAGATTACATTTTTAATTCATGTGTTAGCCTTCTCTACAACTAATACTATCGATTATATGGATTGTACCATTAAAGTATAAAACCCATTAGTTATGCTATAGATAGAATTTAGCTTTTGCTATATTAAAAATAGCTCTAATTGCAATATAGCGGAAATAAAATGAAATTGAAAATTTTGAATCCTATTTTCTTAATAAGTGCTAAATCATTGCTTCACATACATAGACAATTCCGAGGTGTGACAAGCAAACATCGGATAATAATCTCAGCTTTGGAAAAAGAAACAGTGGAGTTAATTTAAATTATTATTATTTGACCAGGTTTTGTTCCGAAATAAATAGAGGCAAGACAAATCGAATTGAGTTTCAGCAATGTCTGCATTTTCCATTCCGTTTCATGGTTTCATCGCCATGGCCTATATTGACCCAAACTTATAGTAGCTAAAGATACAGAAGAGGTTTTTCCATGAGATTTCGGAGTGATATAACTTTTAAGAAAGTTCAAGTCTACAGGCCATTTATAGGCAAAACAAAACAGTGTGAACCACTCAACTTAGTTGCCAGTTTTAGAAACTCTGAAATTTACTTCAATGGAAAATGTGTGTACTTATGGAAGTATTGGACTTGAAGGTAACAGCTGACGATATTGTACTTCGGTAAACAGAAAGTCCCGATTTTGAGGGGAAGACTGTTACCTATTTGGATGTGTCCTTAGGAAGTCGTTGTCCAGACCCTAATGATCTTTAGGTTAGTTTTAAAAGGGGGAATGTTGAGAGAAAATTATTTTACTGGCCTTCTATAATTTCAGATGAAAAATAAACTTGCGTACAATTGTCTTAAAATTTATGTAATTTATAAGTAAGGGTAATTATAAATATCTTGTAGTGAAAAATAATATGCGTGCCACTAAAGCAGCTTACGAAGCTCCAATAACTTGATATTTTTTAATTTTTTCTTCCTGGTTACATAAAAATTATTTGATTGATGAATTTCATCTTTCCAATCATTAAAAGGACGTTGACAAATAGAAGCAATGAATGATGCACACAGGAACTAACCGCAATCCAGGGAGACGATTCGTGAAATTTGGATTTCGGAACACATGAAATGCCCATTTAGTAAATATGACAATGTCAAACACAAGTACATATAAAATACCGTGAATAATAATAATAATATGGCATTGACGATAAGTATTTACATTTACATATTAAGATTATTCTATCTACGACTCACATAAAATTTCATACTTTTAAAATCAATGATTGGCTTCAAAGTGAAAGGAAAGACTACACGAACACAACACACTTTAATTTTTTAAATGAATAAGAGTTCGGTAATTTTGAATTTGAATTTTTACTTTATTTAAATTATTATTATTATTTTTATTGCAATTTGCAATTATTATTGCAATTTTGCAATTTCGCCTGCATTTCCGCCATCCGGGCCTTGTCGGCTTGACGTAGTGGCACAAACGTCCAAGGTGTGCGATAGACTTACCTCCACGTGGTGCACCCTGGGCAACGTATATTCATACGGCAAAAAAGTCTATTGACTGGCAGTTGACTTCTCACTTCAAACTACCATCACCTCACTCGATGCCATATTCGAATATTTCACAGTACTCACCTCACCTCTGTTCTACCTGTGTTTGTGTTTTGAAACACTCTTCTGTTCCCCCCCCCCCTGTCGACTTTTTCAATTTGATGTTTTCTCCCCTCTGTGAATCCTGAAGTCCACTAAAGGACTAATGATAACTATCAAAACGCCTGCCATTTGATATAAATAAATAAACTTTATTTAAATTTATTCAACAACTACATGGGAGTGGTGGGCTAAATTACGAGATAGAGAGAAGGAAAGTACCGTGAGTAGGGGGA